TACTGACTTCTTAATTTTCTTAAGTATTTTCTTCATTTAATTTTCAGTTTATTCATTGCTAGTAGATAGAATACAATTGATATTCATATATTGAGTTTGTATTCTGCAATCATGCTGCACTCATTTATTAGTTTAATAGTTTTTAAGTGTAACCTCAGGATTTTCTATATACAAAACCATGGCATCTGCAAATATAGTTTTACTTATTTTTTTCTTTCCTTTTTTTTTTTTTTTTAATTTCCAGAGGCTTATGCATGTGAAAAAGAAAGAGAGCACCTCCTAACATGCTGCAATCCCTTTTTCTCAATTTCTCCATCCCATCAAGGACTTAGTGCATGCACACACGTGTCCAGCATGTTTTTCAAATCTGCTGGGGCCAGGATTCAAAATACAGTTAGGACCAGCAGATGGTGTAATGGTTACGTCATTGGACTCCCACATAGTTGACTGTGGTTCAAGTCCCAGACCAGGTGGCTTAGGCGTGTCCAAGATCCTGAGAGAATGGAGAAGGAATTGCAGCATGGCCATCCCTCCGGGGGCAGGGGCGGGGAGTGACTTGTTGCTTTCTATTTCTATCTTTCTGGCAAGCATACATACCTATAGCAAAAATAAACCTTCTTTAAAAAAAAAAAAAAAGGATTCAAAACATGGTCGGCCATGTGGGATCTGACTCCTGATGCGCGGTGCTTAACCACTGCACTACAGCACTGGCCCACTTCCTCCTTTCCAATTTGGATGACATTTCTTTTTGCTGCTTAATTACCCTCACTAGAACCTGCGGTATAATGTTGGGGAAAAGAGCAAGCATAGACATTTGACCTTATCCCTGATCTTGGGGGAAAGCACTGTCTTTCTTTCTTTTTTATTGAGAAGTATTTGCTATAAGGCATGTGCGCTTGCCAGAGAGAGACAGAAAGTGAGAAATCACCCCCCCACACACACAGGGGATGGCCATGCCACAAATGTTTCTCCCCCATGCTTCTCTCGGGATCTTCGGCACGCACGCACACACGCCTGATGTGACTTTAAGCCACCAGGTCCGGGACTCGAACTGTGGTCGAATACATGAGAGTCCAGCAACATAGCCATTGTGCCATCTGCTGATCCCAAAAGCACTTTCTCCAGTAAGTGTATTAGTTCTAAATTGTTTTTTTGTGTATGTGTTTTTCCATAAATAGCATTATGAGGTTGAAGACTTTTTTTTATTTAATTTTATTTTATTCATTGTCATTTTTTCATTTTAGTTTTTAAAAGTTGACCAGTGAAGGGAGAGGAAAGTGAGAAAGCAAGCCAGCAGGTCCAGGACTCGAAATGCAGTCAGCCATGTGGGAGTCTAGCTGCTCCAACCACCATGCCACCTGCCAGTCCTGAAGATGTTTCCCTTTTTTTTTTTTTTTTTTTTTAAGTATTTTATTTATTTATTTTAATTTCACCAGAGAGGGACAGAGTGAGAGACAGAGAGAGAAGGAAAGTAAGAAAGCAAATTGCCAGGTCCAGAACTCAAACCTCGGTTGGCCATGTGAGTTCAGCACCCTTAACCAGCACCCCTAACCACCACACCACCTACCAGCCAGGCCCGCAAATTTTCTTTTAATCCTAGCCATTTTTATGGTAAAAGGGTGACTTTTGGGGGCCGGCAGGTGGTGTGGTGGCTAAGGGTTTTGGACTGGCCACAGTGACTCAAAAAGCAGGCCAGTCATGTACATATCCAAAATCCTGACAGGATGGAGAAATGAAGGGATTGCAGCATGATCCCCATTGGGGAGATGCTTTCATCCTCTTCCTTGCTCTCTGGTGAAGGCACACATCTTCTGGCAAAAATAATAATAATCTTACATTGTATAGGTCAAACCTTTATGCAAGTTCTAGAAAACACACTATTTATTTATTTTTTGCCATAGAGTGAGTGTGCTCACTGGAGAGGAGAGAGTAAGATAGACAGTGGGAGAAAAAGTGAGAAATCACCCTCCAGGGGATGGTCACACAGCAATCCCTTCTCTTCCATTCTCCTCCTGGGATTTTGGTCATGTGTGCACATAGGCCTAACTGATTTTCAAGCTGCCAGGACTCAAACCCATCTGCCACGTGGGAGCCCAGCATCATGATAACTATGCCACCTGCTGGTCCCCACGCCAGTTATTTAAACAAAAAAATGAATATAAAATATTATTGGGGCCAGTAAGTAGCACAGTGGTTAAGGTGCTAGACACGGCTTGAGTCCCAGACCTAGAGGCTTGTTTCCTCACTCTCTCTCTCTCTGTGTCTTTCTGGTGAGTATGCATGCCTATAGAAAATTTTAAAATGGGGGCTGGCAGGAGGTGTGGTGGCTAGGGGCACTGGACTCCTGCATGGCCAATTGCGGTTCGACCTCAACCTAGTGGCTTGCTTTCTTACTTTCTCCCTCTTTCTCACTCTGTCCTTCTCTGGTCAAATGAAAATAAATAATAAATAATTCTTAAAAATATTTTTAAATGATAATAATAAAAGTAATTATTTTAAATTTATTATTAGTATTATTATTTTATACATTCAATCACTATACATCATTTGCCTTGCAAAGAATTTACCCAACATGAAATATACCACAGACCAGTCCAGTTGAGAATATTATACATGATATCATAAACAGGTAATAACACATTACTGTGTTCCACAAATGTCTTATCTATTTTCCCCCAATTTCCTTCTCTATTTTATTTCCCTCTCCCACCATGCTTCCACACTGTCTCCAGTGTCCATAACTATTTTCACTGCTTTTATGTCAATCTTTCAGTCTCTACCATAGAGTGTGGAGAGTTAGTATATATTAAGTAGAGACATACAATATCTTTCTTTCATACCCCTGACTTGCTTCACTCAGCAATAAATTGTCCATATTTGACTACTTTCTATCAAATGTCAGGGTTTTCCTTTTTTTTTTTTTTTTTTTGGGGAGACAGAAAGTGAGAAATCACCCCCGGGGGGAATGGCTGTGCTGCAATCCCTTCTCCCTCAGTCTCCTCTCAGGATTTTGAGCACTGGAATTGCAACTAACTATGTGGGAGTCCAGCAATGTAACCATTCTGCCATATCCTGGCCCCTAAATGAATAATTCTTTTTTTTTAAAAAAAAAGAAAGAAAGAAAGAAAGAAATTCATACCAGGCATATGTGTGTGCATGCGAAGATTCCTGAGAGGAGAATGGAAAAGGGATTGCAGTGTGGACATCCCCCCAGGGGGTGATTTCTTGCTTTCCATCTCTGTGCGAGCAGATATGTCCTGTAGCAAAAACCTCTAAAAAAAGAAATAATAAAATATTATTAATTGGACATAAACTATTAAAGAGTAAATTTGGACTTATTATAATTTACACATTTCCATGTTCCTTTTTGTTTGTTTTTGCTCCAGGGTGTGAGAGCTTACCAGCACAGAGAGGGAAGGAAAGTGAGAAATCACTTCCACCTCAGGATGGCAGGCCACACCCAATCCCTTCTCCTCCATTCACCTCTAGGGATTTGGGGCACACACACACACGTTTTTCAAGCCACTAGGTTCAGAACTCCAACCACACAGTTGGCCTCCTCGGATTCAAACAGCCTCTTGTCTTGCCTTTTTTTTTTTTAAGAGAGATTTTTTGCTATAGGATGCATGCACTTGCAAGAGAGACAGAGAAAAATCACCCCCCATGGGAGATTGCCAGCAGCAATCCCTTCTCCTCTATACTCTTCTGGGATTGGACACACAGGCACACTTGCCCACGTTTCATACTGCTTGATCTGGGACTTGAACAACAGTCAGCCACATAGGAATCCATTGCCTTAACCACTATGCCACCTGCTGGCCCCATGTTTGCTTCTTTAATAGCTGACTCTTGGTGTAGAGGACTGTGGAGACAGGAATCATGTTTATCTTGCTAGTCACTGAATCCCCAGTTGCAGTGCCTGCAAATAGACATTTAGCAATTTGTTGAAGTAATAATTCACAGGTTTATGCCTTGGGAGACTGACCATTTACTAAGGCCCGAAATCAGAGGCACAGGAATTAACAATCCTTTCCTTCCTATTAGAGCCCTCTTCCTCATACTTGTCTATATCTTCATTGCTATTTCCCCCCAAATTTATGGGAACCTCACCCTCCTCCTCTTCTTGAATTCGAGTTTCCCTTCCTTAAAGATTCACCTCCTCGGGAACCAGCAGTTAGCGTAATGGCTATGTCGCTGGACTCCCACGTAGTAGACCGCGGTTTGTGTCCCGGACCCGGTGGCTTAAAACTCACGCCGGGCGCGTGTGCGTGCCCAAGATCCCGAGAGGAGAATGGAGGAGAAGGGATTGCGGCGTGACCATCCCCCCTGGGGGGGGGATTTCTCGCTTTCTGTCTCTATGTCTCTCTCTGTCTGGCGAGCGCACGCGCCCTATAGTGAAAATCTCTCAAAAAAAAACCAAAAAAAAAAAAAACCCTCCAAAAAAAAAAAAAAAAAAAGATTCACCTCCTCCAAGATGCTTCCTGTGATTGGGGCTAACTCCAAAGCTACAGTCGATGTAAAAATAAATCATTCAAACTTTGGGACAGGTATTGCCTACCTGTGATAAGCTTCTGAAATGCTGTCCTGGGGGAATTTGACCATGAACACGAACTCTCTATGAAAGTTAAGTACTCATTTACTTCACTATTTACTCCCCACCTAGAATATTAGCACAGTCAGCATCATACTGAGAAAACAATGAAAGAATTTAAAACTGGAATGAGTTGGAACAGACATCCAAGCACTTGGGCTTGTACTCTGGGTCTATTTAGCCGTATGATCTCAGGCTAATGGATACATCTGCCTAAGCCCATTTCCTCAGCTGTGCCCAGACATTTTTCAGTTTTCACAACTTCTGGGAGACAGTAATTCCATTTTCTTCCTTTCTGGTTGAGAGCGCCCCCGAAAACATTAAACGAATGACGTCAGAGAAAAAGCAAATTAAGGCCGGGCGGAACCTCGCAGGGGGTCCAAGCAGAGCGGACCTCAGGAAAATCGGCCCCAAAACAGCGGCCGTGCGTGAGTAAAGTCGAACCTTGAAACCCGGCGCCCCGCGTGACGCACAAACGCGGCAAAAATGAAGCTATCTTGTCTTTGTGACGCGCCGCCCGCAGAAACAATCCCAACGACCTTTTCTTCCCCAAACAACTCTCGGGGCTGTAGAACCAATGCCGAGACTGGGCGGGAAAGCCAGAAGACGCTTGAATTGTTCCACTCATTGGTTAGTCTTGCGGTCGCTCCCGGCTCCCCGCCTCTTTGACTCGCGGGCAATGCATTAATTGGCTTCCATCCACCAGGTCTTCACTCTCATTCGCCCGTTTTTCTATCCATCTAGCTCGGGCGCGTGGAGACAGGCGTCGAGCGCGTCTGTGTTGGGGCTGGAGGCCCCGCCTCCGCGTGCCGTGTGCAAAAACAAACAACCGTTAGGGAGGAGGGGCCGGAGGGCGGAGCCCTGCTAGAAGGGGGCGTGCTATTG